CTATCATATATGTCCCATTCGAGAATGGTTTTCTAGCTTCGAGGAGCTGGATGGTGGAGTTGTTTTGATGGGTAATGATAATGTCTGCAAAACACAAGGGATAGGCAAAATCTGTTTGAAGATGCATGATGGAACAGTCAGAGAATTAAGTGATGTTCGGTATATACCGGATATGAAGAAAAATCTTATCTCACTAGGTGCATTGGAATCCAAGGGTCTCAAGATCACCATGAAGGGTGGAGTTCTTAAAGCTATTTACGGGGCACTGGTGGTGATGAAAGGTACAAGACGAAATAACTTGTATTTCTTGCATGGGAGTACAATTATTGGTGAAGCAGCTGTCACCGAAGCTGCTGACGCAGATAGCACAGACACCACGAGGTTATGGAATATGCGTCTAGGGCATGCTGGTGAAAAAGCGTTGCAAGGATTGGTGAAGCAAGGCTTATTGAAAGCTGCAAAGGCATGCAAATTGGAATTCTGTGAGCATTGTGTGTTGGGTAAGCAAACTAGAGTAAAATTTGGCACTGCTATTCACCACACTAAAGGCATTCTTGATTATGTTCACACTGATGTTTGGGGACCTTCCAAGAATGCATCTTGGGGAGGTAGCCATTATTTTGTCTCTTTTGTTGATGACTTCTCTAGAAGAATATGGGTGTACACCATGAAGCGTAAAGATGAAGTCTTGAAGATATTCCTGAAGTGGAAAAAGATGATTGAAACGCAAAGCGGTCGAAAGATCAAGACTCTCAGATCAGACAATGGGGGTGAATATAACTCTGATCCTTTCTTGAAAGTTTGTCAAGATGAGGGTATTGTGAGGCACTTCACGGTTAGGGAGACACCGCAACAGAATGGGGTGGCGGAGCGCATGAACCGTATTTTGCTTGAGAAAGTTCGGTGTATGTTGTCTAATGCTGGATTAGGCAAGGCATTTTGGGCTGAGGCAATTACTTATGCAAGTCATCTCATTAATCGATTGCCAGCTGTTGCGAATGAGGGCAAAACGCCCATGGAAGTATGGTCTGGTAAACCTTGTACTGATTACAAGTTCTTACATATATTTGGTTGTCCTGCTTATTATCATGTCAGAGAAAGCAAGTTGGATCCAAGAGCAAAGAAAGCTCTATTTATGGGCTTTAGCACTGGCGTGAAGGGATACCGACTCTGGTGTCCAGATGAGAAGAAATTTGTTGTAAGCAGAGATGTGACCTTTGATGAGGCTGCTATGGTTAATCAGAACAAGCATGAAGGTGAAACTGAAACGACCGAGACCATGAGTAGCTCAAAGCAGGTGGAGTTACTGAAGACTCCAGTTGTTCCAGTAAGGTCTGATGTTACAAACACTAGTCCTACAGTTAATCATGATGATGAGGACGAGGATGATGAAGAGGAGGCACCTACCCAAGAGTCTCCACAGCAACAAGACTATATTGCAACCAGAAGATCGAGAAGGGAAATTCAAAAGCCTGCTCGATTTACTGATATTGTGGCATATGCACTTCCCGTTATTGAAGATGATATTCCATCCACCTACAAAGAAGCTGTCATGAGTTCAGAGTACGTGTTGTGGAAGAAATCTATGGATGTGGAGATGAAATCTCTTCATAAAAATAAGACTTGGAAGCTGGTTCAGTTACCAAAGGGGAAGAAAGAAATTGGTTGTAAATGGGTGTATGCCAAAAAGATGGAATCTTTGGGAAAAGACAATGTAAGATTCAAAGCCAGATTGGTAGCTAAAGGCTATGCTCAGAAAGAAGGCATTGACTACAATGAGGTATTTTCTCCTGTAGTAAAACATTCTTCTATTCGTATTCTGTTGGCTTTGGTTGTGCAGTTTGATCTTGAGTTGGCCCAACTTGATGTCAAGACTGCGTTCTTACATGGTGATTTGGAGGAAGAGATTTATATGTCTCAGCCAGAAGGTTTTAAGGTTGCTGGAAAGGAAAATTGGGTTTGCAAATTGGAAAAATCATTATATGGCTTAAAGCAGTCTCCAAGACAATGGTACAGGCGATTTGATCGATTTATGATCGGGCAAAAGTACACAAGAAGTCACTATGACCATTGTGTATACTTTCGCAAACTACAATATGGAACCTTCATTTATCTGCTTTTATATGTTGATGATATGCTTATAACATGTAAGAGCAAAGTGGAGATTGAAAGGTTGAAGACTCAACTGAGTAATGAATTTGAGATGAAGGACTTGGGAGAAGCTCGGAAGATACTAGGTATGGAAATTGAAAGAGATAAGCCAAAGGGCAAGATTAGTTTGTGTCAGAAGCAGTATTTGAAGAAGGTACTACAACGTTTCAAGATGAATGAAAATTCAAAACCGGTTAGTACACCTCTTGCCCCTCATTTCAAACTTAGTGCTTCTATGTCTCCTAAAACTGTTGAAGAAAGTCAGTACATGGCTCAAATTCCTTATGCAAATGTTGTTGGTAGTTTGATGTATGTTATAGTGTGTACTAGGCCTGATATTTCACAAGCTGTTAGTATTGTTAGTAGATATATGCATAATCCAGGAAAAGGGCATTGGGAAGCTGTGAAATGGATTCTACGGTATATTCTGGGTACTGTGGATGTTGGTTTATTGTTCCAGCAGGATAAAATTACTGGTCAATGTGTTGTTGGATATGTGGATTCTGATTACGCAGGTGATTTGGACGAGCGTAGATCCACTACAGGTTTTGTATTCACTATTGCTGGAGGTCGACTCTGCAATCTACAATTGCTCTGTCAACTACTGAGGCAGAATACATGGCTGTAACAGAAGCTATAAAGGAAGCCATCTGGCTTCAAGGGTTGCTTGATGACTTAGGGGTTCAACAAGACCATGTGGATGTTCATTGCGACAGTCAGAGTGCTATTCATTTAGCAAAGAATCAAGTTCATCATGCACGTACAAAACACATTGACGTGAGGTTCCATTTTGTTCGTAAGATTATTGACGAGGGAGATATTCTTCTTCAGAAGATTGGGACCGCTGACAATCCTGCGGATATGTTAACAAAGCCAGTTTCGTTGCTCAAGTTTAAGCACTGCTTAGACTTGATTGGCATTTGTAAAATTTGTTGATTGCCCCATGGGGGAGTGGGAGACGACTATTGGGAGTACTACTTAGAGGGTTTGCGCCAAGGTGGAGATTGTTGATTATTGGCTCAAACAAAGTAGTCTAAAACCAACAAATGATTTCGGCTACTTTTGTGGTCAAAATTGATGGTTGGCATGCTACATGTGAGAAATAAAATGGATGCACTTATGCCTAATTTGTGGTCAAAGAATGAATGCACTTATGCCTAATTCTTTTTGACTTGATGAGAGGCCTTGGCCTATAAAAGGAGGTGTAGGCATAACTCAAAAACAAGGAAGAAAGAAGAATAGCAAGAAGCCATTCGGCATAGAGAAGAATTTTCTCAAATTGTCTTGCTTTGTATTTTTGGTTTTCTCTTCCTATTGTAAGTGTGTGAGCTTGGGTTATTCGGGTCTTTGGGAAATTGAGTGATAAACACTATTGTATGTTCTCATTGATTATAGTGGAATACTCCGTCGTCTCCAAACTGGATGTAGGCATTGCCGAACCAGTATAAATCTTGGTGTTCTTGTTGGTATTGTTCCATTTATCTTTTGTCAGTTATTGTGGTTTATTTTCACTCACACTTGGTTGACGCTTCCGCACAACATCAATTTCCACTTTTACCCACCTTTTTCCTCCTATTTCCCACAAACTCCCGCATCCCTCAAACCCAACGTCACTTCCACTCACCGACCCCATGACCTCTTCACCATTAACGCCTTCACATCCTCATATTGCCAAAACTCTAGAAACCCCTATTCCTCACCGCCCGCTACGTCACGTTACTCCAGCTTCGATGGCAACCCCAATTCCAAATCCATGGTCCCTTGACGTTCGTCGTCGCCTCCTAGCTTCCACCTCCCCCATTGACTTCTTGCAGAGGTTCGAGAAGGACCAGAAGATCATGCTCCCCAACCCCCACTTGCCAAATCGTCGATCCTGATGCTCTCTCTTGGTCAGTTTGGCTTTGGTGAGTGGCCAAATTACTTTATGCTTGTAGAATTTTCTGCGTCAACAGATGGATGTAATATTTGACAGAAAATTAGAAAATCTAATAGTATGGGTGATTTCGGCCAATTATAATAGTTTAGGAGGCTAATAGACTAAAATTAAAGTTCAAGGAGAAATTAACAGCAACTTACAAGTTTGAGGGGGAAATAGAGAAATACCTCAAAAATAAAAAATAAAAAGCTAGGCAAAGGAGACAATAATTTTTGCTTATAATTCCCAAGGTTCTAAAAGATGCTAGGCTCTAGTCGAGTGGCAAACTAGGCAAATTTAATTAAATCTATTATATTTTGTATAAATAAGTGTTTGTTTATGCTTAAAATATATATGATTTCATCATAAACTATAAAATAGAATGACATATCTATAATAAGCTATTGAAATATAATAAAAACGTAGGAATAAGCATATAATGTTTATTCATTTAAGTATTAAACAAGTCTCTTATAATTTATTGAAAAAATAAAATGCAAAATGAAAGTTATTTATTTTTTATCTAAGTGAGTCGCAATCTAGGCGGGTCTGGACGGGCTAGATGGATGCTTAGGCAGTCTAGACGGGCACCTCAGTAGGTCTAGGCATTTTTTCTTAATTTTCAAATGCCTAAACACTAATTGAAACGGGTACTAGCCGCCTCTGCCTAGACGGCACTAAGCGAGGATTTTTAAAATAGTGATAATTTCTCGCCAAATCCCACCATTAAAGCACATACAATGCTTGGAGAGATTTTTCAATGTGACTGATACACAGAGTGGTACATCATGTGTCATTATACATATAATAAAATATATGTATTAAAAAGTTAATAATTTAAAAAATAAAATTTATCACCATTTATATAAAAACATATGATGTAACATCATGTTCCGCATTGAGAAATTTATCCGACGTCTGCTAGCAGCGACTGTTTGCACCTGTTCACATTGAAAATTTTATCTCTCTCTCTCTCTGTGCATCTCCATGTAATTTGGGTCAAATAAAATTCCAACAGAATCTCTCTCTTGCCATTCCACCATCAATCTGTACATCTCTCTTTTGGGTTTTGAGGGTAAAATCCATGAGAGTAAGTAATGCAGGTGAAACTCGGACAATCATTTCCTACCCGTTTTCCCAATTTTCACAAGCTTGGATTTTGAGCTTTCTGTGGTGACAAAAAAGAACCCAGATTGGTAAAGTTGGTGTTTTGGTTCTTTGTTTTGTGTTTGTAGGCCCAAAATGTTTCAGTTTTTGGGGTGATCAGAAAAACCCAGATCATTAATTGGTGGGTTTTATTAACCTATTAATTTTATGTTGGTGTTTAAAGCTCCACAGTGTTGCTGTTGCTACTGCTGCTCCCGCCCCCGCCTCCTGCCTCCGTTAACAGATAGCTTGTACCTCCTTTTACAGCAAAAAATAAAAAATTTAAGCAACTCAAATTCTTTGATTTTCATCAGATATTGTTTGCTTTTATTTTTTCTTTTATCTTTTATTTATTAATTTTTTGTGTGTTTTTTTTCTTGAAAGTGAGTGTTGTGATTCTGTACAAAAAGGGAAACTCATCTTCTACTGGTCCAAGTGATGGCCATTATTACTTTCTATTAACCAGGTTTTTTTTTTTTTTTTTTTTTTTTTTATAATAATAATAAGCATTAGCTGCTCCTCCTTCCTATCTGGAGTACCATTTTAGAAGCAAATTTTCTCTCAAATTTCCAATCTTGGGGGCTGTTTCTGCTTCAGTAAGATCATGCTGCTGCCTCAGAGAGTCAAACCCGATATCGGTTCTTAGTGTTTGAGAAATAGCATCAAGAATTTGAGCTAAAACACCAGCTCTTCTGAGTCTTTTGACAAAAGAGCAGAAACCAATATATTTGGGTTCTGCTGCTTGGAAGTGAATAATCAAAGGAAGATTTTATCTGCATCTGGTGGTGATTGAGTGGCGTTTATTTCAATTTCCAAAGTCAAAAGTTTTAAGCTTTGGATATGGCGGTGCCTGAGAACCTGATAAAACAGCTTGCTCTTTCTGTGAGAAGTATCCAATGGAGCTATGGAATTTTCTGGTCCATTTCAGCCAGACAACCAGGGTACTGACTTTTCATCATATTGTTCAACTTGGGTTAGTTGAACTTTAATTATATATATATATTTTGGCCTCCGGAAAAGAAAAAATAAAAAAAAAAAAAAGGTCCAAATTTGTGTACAAAGTTTCCTAGAAATCTTTGTTGTTTGTTGTTGTTGGATATGTTTGTGTTTTGAATGTCAATTTTCTGCAACTTTTCCCTATCTATTTGTTGTCTTGGTTTTGTTTTTCACAGTTCAAAAAACTCCTGTGCTTCTGCATTATCGGCAGGATTTGAACTTCCTCAAATGAAATTGATGTTTATTAAATAATTGGACTAAACCTTCACATTAAGATTAAATCCTTCAGATTAAGGCTAATCCCTTCACTCCCTGATGTATAAATCTCTTAAAATCTTATGGCATTGTCCTTATCTTATCTGCATTACGAATTGTAATGTTTAACTTTGTAGGGTGTTAGAGTGGGGTGATGGGTACTACAATGGAGATATAAAGACCAGAAAAACAGTTCAAGCCGTAGAGCTTGATGCTGACCAAATGGGTTTGCAAAGGAGTGAGCAACTGAGAGAACTTTATGATTCCCTCTCGGTGGGCGAAGCAAGTCCGCAGGCTAGAAGGCCTTCTGCATCATTATCACCCGAAGATCTGGCTGATACAGAGTGGTATTACCTAGTTTGTATGTCGTTCGTCTTCAACATTGGCCAAGGGTAACTTCATTCTTCACAATTCTTCGGTACTCAAATAGAATCTTAGTGCCTTTCTGATATTATATGCATTGACCAGCCATAGCGTCAATTGCCAACTTTAGAAGTTAAAGCTTGAAAAGAGATTTTGATTTGGTTAGACAAGATGCCCTGTATTTTGTAAAAGACAGACTATAATTTGTTCTACATTCATGTCTTCATGGTTCATATAGCTTACATTGCTCTTCCCAAACTCACTTTTCAGGTTGCCGGGAAGAACATTAGCAAATGGCAAACCTACCTGGCTATGCAATGCTCACTATGTGGATAGTAAAGTGTTTTCTCGTTCACTACTAGCAAAGGTAGCTTGCTGTTTCTTTGTTCATATAAGTATCATGATTGATTTCTGGTTCGTGTTACTTGACTAGTTTGCTCAGAGTGAAGAACTAAAACATCTGTTTTCTGTTTGGTTTTCTTTCGATGGCTGGATTTGTACCTGTCACCCTCAGAGTGCATCCATTCAGGTACGGATACAAACATAACATTAATTTTCTGGTATATGTTGTCACAGTTTCAGACAGAGCAGATTCCGAATTGTCAATATAAGTTTTCTGCAGATGTATATTGGGCAGAATCAATGCACAAAGATTATTTCTTAATCTAAGCATGTTTTCTTTTTTTTCTTTTTTTTTTTTTTTTTTTTTTTTTTTTTTTTTTTTCTTTCCAGACTGTTGTATGCTTTCCATTTTTGGGAGGAGTGATCGAACTCGGTGTGACTGAGCTGGTAGGTATTATTTGCTTTAGAATATCTAATTAGAATTACATATTTATTTCCAAAATATGATCTACTGCATACCTTTTGCATTTTTTTTGTAGGTTCTAGAGGACCCTAGTCTCATTCAGCATGTTAAAACATCTTTCTTGGAGGCTCCATATCCCATAATCGCTTCCAAGAGAACCAATCCTAGTGCAGGAAGCACAAGACACGACAATGATCTTGCTTGTGCCGTGCTTGATGACGATATAGTCGACACCAAATTAATTCCTGTTGTAGGGTATCAAGAAATGGATGTGACTTCACCTGATGACAGTTCAAATGGTTTGGGCCCTAATCAACCGGCTGATGATTCATTCATGGTGGAAGGGATGAACGGAGGAGCTTCCCAAGTGCAAAGCTGGCAATTTATGGACGATGAGTTAAGTAATTTTGTGCACCATTCCATGGATTCCAGTGATTGTATATCTCAGACTTTGGTGTATCCGGAAAAGGTTCTCTCTGGTCCTAAGACTGAAAAGGCAAATGATCACTGCCCGCAGGAACATAAAGAGTGCAATAGCACTAAAAAGACCTCTTTGGATCCTCAAGGCAATGACTTGCAGTATAAAAGTGTTCTTTCTGCTCTTTTGAAGAGCTCACACCAATTGGTTTTGGGGCCACACTTCCAGAATTCTCATCAGGAATCCAGCTTTACCAGTTGGAAGAGAGGAGGGTTTGTAAAATGCCGGACACAAAGAGGTGGAACCCCGCAAAAATTATTGAAGAAGATTTTGCTTGAAGTTCCTCAGATGCATGTTGACTGTGTGCTCGAGCCCCCAGAAGATACCAGCAATGTAAATGAAGTTTGTAGACCAGAGGCCGATGATATTGATACGAATCATGCATTATCTGAGAGGAGGCGGAGGGAAAAACTGAACGAAAGATTTTGCATTTTGAAATCAATGGTTCCCTCGGTTAGCAAGGTAGGTAAAACTCCATTTAAGATTTTTGTTTACTGACATCAACTGCGAAGTAATTTGTTTTTCGACTTTGTTTACACAGGAGGACAAAGTATCCATATTAGATGATACAATAGAGCATTTGAAAGATCTTGAGAAAAGAGTTGAAGAGTTGGAATCGTTTCGGGAGCTAACAAATTCAGACTCAAAAATGAAGAGGAAACTCCAAGAAACAGTTGAGAGAACATCTGACAACTGTTGCAACCCCAAAATTAGCAATGCGAAGAAGCCTATAGTTTACAAGAGGAAGGCCAGCGACGTTGATGAAACAGAACCAGAAATCAATCACATTGTATCGAAGAACGTTTCAAGTGATAATATAACCGTTAATACGAACAACAAAGATGTTCTAATTGAGATGAAGTTTCCTTGGAGGGAGGGAGTGTTGCTAGAGATCATGGATGCTACAAGCCGGCTTCATTTAGATGCTCACTCGGTTCAATCATCCACCGCGGACGGAATTCTTTCCCTGACCATTAAATCCAGGGTATGAAATTTTAGTCACATGAAGATGGTCAATCGTTTCTTTTTCTGTTTTTTAGTGGCTCAAGGGAACCGATTCGCTATCATGTTAAACACTCGAGTTCCTGGAGGCCTACTGCAAATAACTAACAATTTCTTAATTTGCAGTTCAAGGGGACGAGTATTGCATCGGCAGGGACAATCAAGCAAGCACTTGATAGATTTGCCAGAAGCTGACGAATCTCGCGTTCTTAGTGATCTCTTGAATTCTGTTATTGTACAATTGCGTAACGTTGAAAGTCTCTGTAGATTTACGGTGTAAGAAACGCGAGCCTCATTGAGGATTTTTGTTTTCCTGCAGGTAGTACTAGTCTAGTGAAAGGAATTAGAACTTGTGTTACATATGCATAATTTTCTCCCAAGTATTTATTTATGTGATGACAGAGACGAGCATTATTGTCACTTGCATGGATAATGGAGATGACATTGCTTGTAAGAATGACGTGTTAGACATTTCAAAAAGTTGATTGTCCGCCATACGAACACGTACAACAAATATATGAACACTGTCTTAGCTGTTGATGATCTAACGGCTCAGGCAAGTTCATATGTTACATGTGTCATGTGTGTGTGAATTTTGAGATTTAACGATTCAGATTTCAGACAGTGCTGATACGACATAATTTCTATGCTTGAGGTTAGCATACAACTTGAAAGAAAATACCACCAAGAATGGAGTAGACAGAAAAGAAACGGTCGAGTGTGATGTGCACAATGTTTTCTGTAGTCCATTATTTGACAACACTTGGGCAAATAAATAACTGAGGGGGAGCCCCCCATTAGAACGTGTCTGAATCATAATTGGACTCGGAAACTCTCTCTCTCTCTCTCTCTCTCTCTCTCTCTCTCTCACTCATGGGGACTTATGTACTGCATGCCAGTCTGCAACTTTGATATTGTTCACTCAATCCAATCGTACATGACATCAGATTTGGTGGACTGAATACGGTGCATGCAGTTTTTTTTGTTTTTACTACTTAAATCTAATAGTATTTCTCTTCATTTGTAAATAAGAGATCTTAGATTCGATTCTCACCAAATAAAACTTTGAACCACATTATTGCTGATCCATTATAAGGTTTAACCCACCCCCTCCCCCGATTGTAAGGCTTAACCCACCTCATTTCCCCTAAGTTTAGATAATATCATTTGTTCAAATTTTTTGAGCCAATAGTAGAAATAGTCCATTTTATTAAATAAGTCTAATTTGTTATGTAGGGACTGTTATTGGTACTCCAAAAATCTTATTCTACACTCCAAACTTTCTATATTTGGAAAGAAAAATACACTTGTGATAAGTGTAGAATGAGATTTTTAGAATGCCAATAACACTTTCCATATTTAATTATCAATAGTTATCTGTTCAATGATAAAATTTATTATAAAAATCAAATTTCTTTCCAATTATCTCTTTGCTTATTTCCTTTTAGTTTTTTTTTTTTTTTTTTTTTTTGTTATTTCTTGTTCTTCCTCATGTTTTAAATCCCATTTATAGATTTTATTTTTAATTTTTATATTCAACTTATATCACAAGTTAATTATATTTATCTACCTATATGACAGATTCTTTTATTATAATCAACATGTCACAGATTAATGTGTCTTACTTGTAGGTATGTTATGTTTTTTCTACCTTTTAATTAGGTTTCATATCCCACGTATAGGTATAATATACATTCATATATTTGTTACTTGAGTTAAGGTAGAATGTTTTGCAGATAAATTTATCTTAGTATATTAATTTTTTTTGTTATAAGATATTAATTAGATTTTTGGAGTTGGAAAATGCATAATATTAGAAGATTTTAATTGATTTTTAATATTTTTAGAAAATATAAAATGAGTATAAAATAAATAAAAATATATAATTAGATAACTGGTGTGACAGCCCGTCCCGAGAAATTCTAAAAACGTAACGGGAAAAGACGATTTTGCCCCTAGTTCGATTTCTTTACGTTTTGCGTTATGTTTTCGGGTTTTGTTGGCATGTCTTGAGCCACACACATACTCCCACACACCCACACTCTTTTTTCCCATGCCCTGCATCCTACCTGTGCCCAGTTCCCTTCCCATTTTCCTTTGAAACGTACGGATACACCCACACACCCATCAAACCTTTACAGATCGAGGAAACCAAGACCATATTCGAACTTGTGAAGCTTGTAGGAGTTCAACCGTGCCATTTTCAGGTAAGAACATCATCGTTTTCACGTTGAATCCACAACGTCCGATTTCGAGTACTGTTCATGCACACGTGATTTCTCACGTTTTAGGGAATTTCAAGCTTGTAGGTAGCTTGGTGAGGTCCCTAAGAGGCTCGGGGTGGTTCGTTTGAAGGAATTGGACGTCGGGATCACTAGTTTCGAAGTTGGCCGGAGTTGGGTTGTTTGTACAGGTGAGATTTCGTGGTTTTTAACCCTTGAAAGTAGTATAATTGTGTTCCTCTAGTTCCAAGCTTCATTTTGGTACCAATTTTGTCGAATTTGGGTGAAAAACGAAGAAGATATAAACGTTTGAAAATTTTCCAGTTTTCCGGCGCCGCCGACGGTGCCGGAGAAGGAGACGGAATATTCCTGACACCGTTGACGGAATATGTCAAAACTGACGGAATATTCCCTACGGCGTCAGTTGACGCTGTCAGCGTGCCAGGCACGTGCCTGCGCGTGGCCGGCGCGTGTGGCCGTGCCTTGGCCGGCGTGTGGGGGCACGTGCGGCGGTGGAAAATTTTTCTAAAAATATGGGGATGTTCCTGAGGTTGAGTAGATCACGTTGGTATATTCATATACCCCATTTGAGCATTGTATGAGAAGTTATTTCTAAAGGTTGGTTATGTACTTTAAAATTGACGTTTTTGTGGTTGTTTTGCATATAGGTGATACCTATCCCGAGGACGAGCGTGGTCACTCGAGGCAGGGGGGCTACGACCTTTCCACATATCAGTGAGTGGGCTTTTGGTTTTCCGTATATACCTATATACATATATTTTCCCAGAAATTGATTGAAATATTTATTAGTTTATATGCCATGCATTTTATATTGCCATTGGTTATGCATGGTTAGTTGCATTTATATGTGTACGTATTGGTGCTGTGGACGCACAGGTAAGTGTCAGGTAAGTGTTATGCATGTTTACCTTCAGTAGTGATTCGAGATGCTTAGAGAGCTCATAACCTGCACCCCCGGTGTTAGTGCTCCCGCCCAGAGTAGGGCACAGTCCTTCACGTGATGTTCACCTCCCGCACCACACGCTCAGCTTGGATCCAAGTTAGGTGCACAGTCCTGTCGTACAGACCATTTTAGGTGGTTCTGATTCGTAGGTGACCCGCGATTATTCGCCCAGCCTTCACGTGATCGTAGCACTAGAGCGTATATATGTATTACACCCAGGCCTGTCGTACAGACCACTTTAGGTGGTTCCGACTCGTGTGCAGGTCCAGCTAGTGAGATTGAGATTTGAGCTCTAGATGCAGCCGTACAGGTCACGTTAGGTGACTCCGGCTGCCAGATTATATGATATTGATATGATTTACACCTAAGCACTTGCATTTCATTATGAGGTTTTGGCATGGCATATTTTTGAGCATGATTGATATATATATACGTATATCTATTTTCTGGGAAGTATACAGGTTTTACGGCGAGGGGTTAGAACGTATTTATAAATGGTTTTCGAAAAGCTTTGTTTTTGCCCACTCACGCTTTTGTTTTGCGCCCCTCCAGGTTCTAGTTGAGTAGCAGGTTCGGTGGTTTCCCAGAGGGCTTCCCGGCATTTCTGACAGACCCTCACCAGCGTAGGGCCACCTTCGGGTGTACTGTTGTTGTATCATTTTCTTTTGGACTGCTGTAGGCTTATTGCTCTGAACTTGTGTCTCACTTACGCTAGCACTTATTTCTATCACCTTATGTATGCTAGTTTTTAATTACTTGTACTATTTACATTATTATTTTATTAGCTTCCGCACTGTGCACGTGGCTACGTCACTTTCACGTGACGGCCAGCACGCCCTGGTCTCGATCGGGGTGTGTCAACTGGACTCACTCCTAAAAACACTCATATTTTTGGACCTAAATCTAAAGTCCCTTGACTAGCTGATGCTATTGAAATTATCTATTTGAGTTATATTTTATAAACTACATGATATAGTAGTTGATGGTTGGTTTCTTTGTTTAATCATTAAAAAATGCCACATTATGTGGTTCACTAAATATAGTCTCCTAACTTTTTCCGTATGACTATATTTGACTATTAGGTAGTGAATATATTAAGGAAATGCATGTGCTGAAACAAAAATTCTAGAGTTTAGCAAATGTGGGACGCTATGACGCTTTATTTATTTATTTATTCTCTTTATACCTACAGACACTCAACATGATACATAGACATGACATTCATGTCATTTTTTTCGTGTTTGTGTCATTTTAGTGACATACCCGATATCTTAACGAGTCGCGTCGTGTAATACCCATTAAGGTACGGGCAATATGACCTAACCCAAAATCAACTTGTTAATATTATCAGGTAATATGACCTCACACGTTACCCGTTAAAAAAAAATATTTTAAATCAATAAATAATGAAAATGAAGACATAATTTGACCCAAAAATTGAAAAATATAATACCAAATTAGTATATGCATACCACATTGTCACATAAGTATTATTTGCAAAACATAAAACAAAATATTTGTCTTTCAAGTACTACATATCCCAAAATAAGAGCCTAATGAACAAACATTACTACATTACTACAAATACCAAATGTTCAAGGATATTCAAAATCGAGGAAGTTGCATTTCAAGGTTGAGGAACCTTGCACCTTTTTTTTATTTTTTATTTTTACGTGTTTGGTATTTTTATTTTTAATGTGTTTTATAATTTTTTTTTTAATCTCACCCTTTACCTATAGTATACTATAAAAATAAATAAAATTTATTTTTTGAATTTATAAACAATATAATACAATAATAAATATTTAATATACATATATACATATACACTATGGTGATTACATTTTAGAGTATGTTTTTTTAGTAGTTTAAAAAGTTAAAAATAATCAAAATAACTTACGGATTACCCGCATGTTACCCTCATGCAAACTTGTTAAAAATCCATTATTAACATGTTCTTATTATGTGACTTAATAGAGATCCTATTTCTTTTTTTTGTAAATAATATAGTTTGTTTCATAAAAAAAAAAATTGAATTAGCCACAAAAAGTGAATATTTCTCATCTTGGCATAATTTGGATGGTCAAAAAGGAAGCGCCAGGCGCAAAAAGGACTTGATATGGTAGATACGAAAGCTGACAAGCGACAAACTGGCACAAAAAAGTTACCAGCATAAAAAGATTCAGCAGCTATTTAAAATCATAATAGTTTATATTTTAATTTTATGATTTT